ACGAGTCCATCTCAGGTATGAAATATAAATGCATGTTAAAATATAGATGTACGTCTACAACGAGTATGATTATAACTTATAACGAGTAAAATATATCGAATTATAGAATAAAATATGTTCGGTTACATTAACGAGTCAGTCATTATCTTTTTCCTATTATGTGCATACATATTAATTCATCCTTGACTTTAAGGCACATCAGTTTCAGAAAAATCTCAGCTTTATATAGCTAATCTACAGTATGACAATACTACTTATTTTATAGGTACAATCTAGAGGGTAACAATTAAATTATAATTTAATATTTTAATATAGTGATTAGTGGCTACTATAGGATACCTACTAACTTAAGCTTAACTATACTACAGGTACATAATAATTGTGGTGGCTATAGTGCATAATGCGAAAACGTCGAAAACAACGCACAGTGCAACCCGAAAGCGCAAATCGACTTTTTTCTCAATAACCTAAAAGCACACAACGAATTTGCGCTCTTGTACTTTAATGGCTTAGTAGTGGTATAAAAGCTACAAAATAAATTGTATTACCTAATACTGCAACATTGTACCATTACTGTCTCTTCAGTCTTCAATCTTGRCTATAACTGAGATCTGAGTCTTGCTCATCTGTTTTCGGTGAACTATTTAGTTTGTATTTTATATTATGTAATAAAAGCAGTCACTAATTGAATTATAGTCCATTAGTCTGTCGGATCAGCAGGCTATGGTCTACGAAAAAAAAAAGGTTCACAATGTGGTCTTCCCGCCATTGAGAAAACTATACTTCCCGCGTGCAAGCAGGTTAGATAATAATTTCCCCCTTTGAATGTACACGTGCCAACAACTGGTCACACTGTTTTGGATCAGCTGTTTGGGTGGTATTGATAAAAATCCGTAATAAATAATAATAATAATAGYTATTAAATTTGCGACTTTGCAAGTCGACTGTTTAACCTTCACCGGGTGGTGACGGCTGTACGATTTTTCATTCGTGATCGTTGGGCGACAACCGAAATCGCTGTTTTTCTGGTCCATCCAGTCCGTTTTACAGCATCGTTCAAGATGGCAATCGGTGACTATCCGGCCGAGTATAATCCAAAAGTCCATGGACCGTACGATCCTGCTCGTTACTACGGAACACCCGATACACCTTTCAGCCAATTAAAACTCGGAGAGGTAACTATTTTTTTTCTCGACGGTTTAACCTAACTTCGCAACCAGGAATCGAAAACACGTTTCATGTTTGCTGTTGTGAAATCGATTCATTAGATGAATTTTTTTTTTWCGTACCATAATATAAGTGTAACGGTTGCGTGGTAGAAAGGATAGTAGTCAATGGCGATAGCCCGTGATTTAAGTATCTGACATTCTGACAACAATCAAATTTTTGATGATTGAAGTTTGACAGTTATGTTGTGATCTCAGAGTGGTGCATGAAAAAATGTTAACCACTTAACCACTAGCYTTTGACCTACGAGTAGTTMTAAAAATATTGGAAATCGATCACAGGTTATCTTTACTAATGTCCAACATAATATGGCTCGTATCATTAATCTTTACTCCTAAGTCCAAACTTATGGCTTGTGTTACTATATTTGATAACAAAAATATAATCGAAAAAAATTTTTGTCCTTCATTAAAATTCATACTTGTTTATAACTTTCACACTTTTGACATTTGATACATTATCAGTTATAGACTTATAGTGGAAAATGTATTATTTAACAATTAATTCCTATTTAATTTTTGTATAAAAAATTGTATTTAATATTACTTATAGTTATGTATAAACTATTTTAATTATGAATATATTTTTGATTAAATGTTTTTATGAATGAATGCAAAATATTCTTAATTTACATTTGTATAATTCAATGTATTGGTTAAATTGTTATTTATATATAAAAATTAGTTTTGATTTGTTCAATAGGTAACAATAGATACCAGCTACCTAAAATACATTTTAACTACTTAATATTTCAATTTAATAATTATTATTCATAATCATCCCTTTTATTCAATATTTTTATCATGTATTTTTTCAGGTCACTGAATGGGTGGGACGTCGTAACAAATCACCAAAAGCAATTGCTGGATTATTTTCGCGTGCCTATTGGCGTTGGTCACATAAATATGTTCAACCAAAACGTACAACAGTTGCTCCATTAATCCATATTCTTGCTGGTTCAATGTTGTTCTTCTACACTATTAACTATGGCAAATTTGTGCATCATAGAAACTACAAGTACCATTAATATTGTTAAACATTTAACAGCAGAATTTATATTATTAGATTAATAAAAATGGTTTAAAACACTTATACAATAAAATAAAAATACATGTATTTCAAAAAACATAATATCTTTTTTTTTTAGTTAGTATCAATTTGTAATATTTATAGACATTAAAAAATTATACTTGAAGGAAAAATTTTATATTTATTATTATATGTGTTGTACAGTTGATTATTATAACAATAATTTCATACAAAGCCTTTTTAGTTGCGAGAGGAATAACAATATTTATTTTAAAAATTTAGGGTTAACGCTTATTTTGGTATGTATTAAAGTTTAAAAGTTTTATTGGCTATTTATTAAAATTGATATTATTTTCAAATAAAAATATTATGATGATTGTTTCAGTTATCATAAATGCTATCCATCATTATAACATCTAAATTCAAATTTTAATTTTAACTAATTAAAAGTAAAATATGCTAGTTTTAGTTTAGCACAGTAACCAACTAATAGGTACAATTCTAGATTGGAATGAAAATTAAAGTATTATTTATAGATCACTAACAGTGCCGGATCTACAAATTATATAACCTGTGCCCCCAGACCACAACATAATATTAGCACCCTTAAAAGTTACAAATAAAATCCATGAGTCCTAAAGTGTGTAAAAATACGCATTATCATAGGTGATTTAATTATTTACAAAATTAATAAAAATACTTTATACATACATATATTTATATAGGTATTATGAAAATGTTTATTTTCAATGAAAAACAAATAATATAAAACGCAAACCTATATCATAATTTAGAATCATAGCTTTAGAATCTATAAAAGTAAACTAAACTATTATTTTTCTTGATTTTTTTGATGGGAACACAAAATATTATCACAATAATTTATAAATATAGCAGTTTAATGTATATGATTGTATTTAATCTTCTTTGTTTAGTAGTTGATCATAAATACAATTTAATTATTTAAGTTAGTTAATTAGTTAGTCAAATTATCTTAAATAATCTTATTTTTCACTCAAAACTATACTTTTTATTTTTTGTAAATTAAAAAGTACTGTACAAGTATAAAAAAAAAACTGAATCAATTAACAGTATCAYATTTTAATTTTTTAAAGCTATTAAAATGTGAGAAAAATTGAAAAATATTTATGTTACTATAATAATAGTAGTTGACAGGTAATATTTTCTATGACATAAAATAGAGTTTCTTTAAGTATTTGACATTGGAAGATGAGATCATTGTAAAGATCTATTCCCATTACGTGAACGTAACTAGATATTAAATGTTTGTAAGCATCGTTAAATTGGAGACAAGCAGGCGCAAACTGGCTGGGGTGCAACATCTCTTGCCCTAAAATATATTTGATCTATTATTGTATAATTTTGTTTGAACACCCATTTGAATATTTGTTTTAATTTGGTACCTATTTACAATTTTTAAGTATTTTCAATATTTTATACATAATCTACATATTTTAAATTTGCCTCAAACAATTTTTTTATTTGCCCTTTAAATTATGTAGCATCCCATGCCTTTTTTACCAGTCCACACCAGGAGACAAGTATCAGTCAGGTGCTTATCCACAAGCGGCAGCTGGCTACTAAAGCTTTATTTAGCGGTTCGAGCTATCATCAGACTCCCAAGTTGTGAACCATGTACTGTTGGTATACTTGTATATGCACAACACCTTGACAATGCTAATGTAATTATAGGGATATCAACTAAAACAAACATTCTCATGTTGGAGTATGCATATAGTCAAAACATTGACTTCAAATGTCATCCTAACTGATATCTCTATGATATAAATCAAAAAATTTTAACAAAATATGCAATTTTTTGTATTTACTTTCAATAATTACATCTGATTTATTCTTATTCAAAGCCRTAGATTTATCTATCAATGATGAATAACATCTATAAATTTATGTCAAAAAAAACTAAAATAAATATTAAATATATTTCTCTTAGCTACTGAGATATRATTTAGCTATTGGTCAATTATTGATGGTATTTTGTCTCAATAACCTAAGAAGTGTGAAACGTGTGTTGAAGATCTTCAAAGTCTAACATTCTCGTTTCTGTACTCAGTGCGCTATCAGTGTCATTTAGTGGTTCAAACTGTTCTAAGCTTTTAATGAACTCTTCAGTAGATGTTGGGACTAGATTCAATTCATTAGTGAAGACTTCATAGACTCCATGACCCATAAAGGAATCTGATTGAGAGACGTTCGTAGCAGATGATGTGGATGCTATTGGATAATCTGAAAATATTTATTTTTTGTACATCAGTAGGTATAAATATATTCTCAATAATAATTATAACCTACCAATTATAGGTACATTTGTGTGCAAATGATCAGACATTGAGCGTAACCTTTCAGATACCAGACCATCTACACTTTCCAAAACAGCTTGATTTTCATCACATAATATTGATTCTTCCATACTAGAGCTCAGTAAGAAATCTACCTTAGATGATTGACTATCAAAAATATTTAAATGAATAGGACTAGAGTGGCAATTTAAATTTTGAGGTGTCACTTTGGGTTCAATAGATTTTGTAGAGTCCATAGTCCAAACACTAGATTCTGGCTCCATTTCATAATCATTCTGAATGTCTCTTAAAGTATAAGAGCCTTTTGGTAAACCCATCAAATGTCCTAATGAATCATCTATAAACTAAAGAATTTAATAAAATATTAAGACAAAGAATTAAATTTTAGCAGGATCAGATATTTGATATATCTTACAATATGATTGTTATCAATGGAATTAGATTCACAATTTGATACAATTTTAAAAGATTTCGATAAACTTCTTAAATTTATAATTAGTGTATTTAGCTCTTTGGAAAATGCTTGCAGACCTCCACTCTCAAGTGTACTAGATAGTAAATCCCAAACAGATATTGTTCCAGACAATGATTTCATAAGGTTGGTTTTTTTCAGATGTTTAATTATCTAATAACATACAAATAAAAATGTATTAAACTGAATTACAGAAATGAATTTCATGATATTGTTGTACTTGTTTCAAATGTAACTGCAAATTTTTTTTAGACCTTATATAAGCACAATGTCTATTTTTTACAATTTCTGTCTGAGTATGAATTTCTTTTTTACTATTAATTATATCAACTGAAATATAATAAAATATAATGTTTTAATAAAACATCTTAACTTTCTCTAAAATATTCAAATTGTATTACTATTCATCGGTGTTTCGTGGAGGTTTTGAAAAATATTTTGTAACTCTGAATCCACTTGTTTATTGGCAGTATTCATCTTGTGAGAAGGAAATCTTTCCAAATGTTCTTGCATTCTTTTATGTCCTAAATAAGTTTTACCACATCCTCCACAGACAAAATCTGATTTAACATTGTATTTTACTTTTTTTCTGCCAA